CTTGGCGAATCCTCCGAGTGAAGTGACTTTGCTGTATAAAATACTCAAATCCAACTCTTTTCCTCCGATTATTGGGATCTTTCTAAAACTCGTCCTGGAAGCAAACAATTAATAAAAATCAAAACGGTCTCAATCAGAGCTCGTTACTTAAATCATGAAGATGTTAAAATGTAGTTCTCATTAAGAGGTCAAAAACACGACCCTAAACCCCACACTCATGTTTTGAGTTTACATCTGGATCAAGAAATGATTCTAAAATAGAGAATACACCCAGATATTAAACCGCTTCAATAATGAATGTGTTGGTATTAGTGGACGTTGTAGTCACAAATCTACATCGTTTATGATCATCTTTCTTCTGTGTCGAATGAATGGTCAAAAAAGACATTTTAAAATAATTGACATGAACCCAACCAACAGCTTGGAATTGAAACGGAGCTGTTTACTCCGACTCTGTAACAGTGCTATTTTCGAATATATATGTGTGTATATATATATGTATACACACAGAAGGAAAAACTCTTTAAAAAGTTTCACTTCCCTCCCACCTGGGACTCACCCCCACACCCCCACACACCACCTTCACGAATAAACGCCATCAATAATTATAAACAGGTCCACAAACAACCGGGTCCCGGGTCCCGGGTCACAGCCCGAAATCTGCCCACATCCCCAACACAACACAGAGCAGCGCCGAGAAGTAAAATAAAGTACTGACTCTTTTTAACACACATATAAATTAAGAGAAACAAAAGCCTTGTAAACAAAATCACCCCCATCCACCCCCAAAAAACCCCTCATGCACCGCCCCCCACACACACACACACACCTTTTTTTGTTTTAAAAACACACACCATTCAAACTTTTAAAGTGAAATATTTGTGACCTTTTTTTTTGGTCAAAGATTGATTGAAGGTGTCCTGTGGGAGTGTATGTGGCCAAATCCCGGGGGGGGGGGGGGGGGACTGGTGCCACACACACCCGGGGCTTGTGCCCCCTCCCCACAAGCCTCTCCCCCTCTCTCTCTCTCTCTCTCGGGGGGTAAGAGAGGGAGAGGGAGAGGTTAACCGTTGCTGCGCTGAGGGTTGAATGAAGTTGCGGATATTTTTCCTTTACCCTTTACTCCTGTGAAAGTGCCGCAGCTCGTCCAGGAAACTCCTGCCCGTCCTCACACCGCCGCCGCCGCTCTTACTCGGAGTTTTAGCCATAATAATCCCCGACTCGGCACAAAGACAACTCGGAGCGATCAGCAGCACCAGGAAAGCCACGGGGGAAAAATATATTTTTTTTGTTTGTTGTTTTTTTAAAAAAAACTCTTCCCCCCTCTCTCTCTCCTCCAAAAAAAAGACTGGCGGCCGGTGCTTTACCCGCCGGCGTTCTCTTTCTCTCGCTGCGGATTTATATATATATATATAAAAATTATATATATATATACACTGTATATTTATATATGTATAAATATATAATCACAGTTTCTTCTTTTTCTTCTCCGCAGAGTCGGGCGCCCGAACCCGAGCCATCGCCGGCCCGCGACGGGGATTAAACCGAGAGAGAGAGCGAGAGACGGGGGAGGGGGAGGGGGGAGAGAGAGAGGGTGGGGGGGGGAGGAGCCGCGGAGGAGTCTCGGCGCCGAATAAAAGACCGAATTAGGGAGGAAGGAGGGAGGGTGTGGGGGGGGGGAGATAAGAAAAAAAAGGGCGAGTGGAAGAGGCGCCTCTTCTGCTTTTTCACGCTACAGATACGAGCGGTTTGTCGGCCGCGCCGCGCGCCCTCTCTCTCTCTCTCTCTCTCCCAGAGCAGCGCTGCCAACCAGAGCGGAGGGGGAGGCGAGATGTTAATCTCCGGATCACCATCGCTTTCCCCCTCTCTCTCACACTCTCTCTCTCTCTCTCTCTCACAGACACAGAGAGAAGCTCAGGCAGTTTTTTTTGCTTCACTCCGGTTCGCTTCTCTCCATCGGCTTCCCGGTGCGAGAGAGAGAAGGGGGGGGGGGAGGAGGGAGAGAGCGGGTGGTAAAGGAGGGGGGGGTTGGGTTGGGGGGGGGGGCACCAGCCGCCGGGTTGCTACGAGGGCTTTTTTTTCAAAAAAACGAATCGAATTTTAATTTTTTTCAAAAAAGAATATTTTTTCTCCTCAGCCTCACTCTGTCCGTCACAGACAATGAGCCGAGCGGCCGAGCGATTACCCGCCGGGGGGGGGGGCTTGCAATTCCTCAAAACAAGCCCGCCGCCATGGCTGCCGAGCGAGCGAGCGAGCGAGCAGGCGCGTGAGGCTCGCCGGGAGTTGGAGTTCGCGGCCGCCCGCGCTGCCCCCCGGCCGCCGCGGCGGCGCAGTGCGGAAAAGACTACAGTTCCCGCGGTGCACCGCGCCGACGCCTCGTCCTGCCACCTGATTTCCCTCCAGCCACCCGCGGCGCCGTCAAAAACGAGCGCGTTCCGCGCGCTGCCTGGCGGGAGGTGTAGTCCCGTCGGGCTCGGCCTGCGGGCTAATCGAGCGGCGCGCGCGCGGCGGCGATGGGGTTTGTAGTTCTTTTGAGGACAGCGCCTGACGAGACACGACAACGCGGCTGATGGCCGCGAACTACAAGTCCCGGCGAGCACCGCGCTGACGGACCGTTAGCGGTCTACACATGACCTCTCAGGATGCCCTGAGGTGCCTCGAGAAGCCGCGGTGGGTGGGTGGGGGGGAGGGGAGAGCGGTCACTTTCTTTTTAAAAAAACATATCTAAAAAAGCATTATTTACAAACGAATCGCTGCCGTCACGTCATGAACTCCCGGCCGAAGCCTCTCAGACTACGTGTGAACCTCACTTCTCGCGGCGTTTGAATCTAAATGTCCAAATGCGACTTAAAGCCCAAATCAGAGGAACAAATATCAGTTTATTATTTTTTAAAATGGCAGTAATGAGGTGACCATCACAGGTAAGTTTACCGTTTGTGCACCAGTCGCTGTGCCATTGGGTCACAGTGATGCTCGGGGTGAGGGGTGGGGGGGGGAGGGGTGAGGGGTCTTATCACAACACTGAGCGCTCAAAGCGCTTCTCAGAATGTACTGTCGAGTGAATTGACTATATTGTGTGGGTGAAACACGACAGCTGATGGTGTGCGGCCGTGTCCCACACACTGCCCCGGGGCTGAGGGGCCAAATTGTTATTTTAATTTTTTTTGAATGATTATTACCTGCGGAAAGCGATCCGCCAATCGACTAACAACCCACTCGCCGCTGTGTAAAGAGAGACGTGTGCAGTGAGGAAACGTGCCCGGGTGGTTTAATAGTGTTTAAACATTGGATTAAGATGGTGCCAAACTTCTTGGTGGGTTTCTTTGAGTGAGGAATTCCTACCACGTTTCCAAACTCTTTAGAACACAACATGCTTTAGACAGTTTCCAGAGGCACGGGATTGGGAGTTTTGTTCTGGTTGCATCAATATCAGATTCTTCATAATTTACACAGCGCCTTTCACATCAGGAGGACGTCCCAAAGTGCTGTACAGTCAGGGATCCGCACCCAGGCTGGTGGTTGGGATCAGGAGGACAGGGAGGGTAGAGGTAGGATGGTGACTGAAGGCACGGTCAAAGAGGAGGGTCTTGAGATGGGTCTTGAAGGAGGCGAGGGAGGGAGTATGGCGGAGGGACTGTGGGATGGAGTTCCAGAGGATGGGGGCAGAGAGGCTGAAGGCTGACACACCAATGGGCGGGCAGGTCGGAGCCCGGTGTGGAGAGGACACGGGCTGCAGAGTTCTGGATGATCTGCAGACTGTGGAGTACGTTTCCTTTAAATTAAAAAAAACTTCCAAGAGAAGTTTACAGAAAAAATAATTTGTAATCTTTACCTCTTCGCTCCCCAAAACCCCCCCGTCAGCCCTCTCTAACTGTTGGTAAAGTTGATGAATAATTTAAATGTTATTTCATTGGATTAGAATTCAAACATTTCCATAAACAAAACCTTTGTGATCAGTTGCTCATTGATGGGATGGCATTATGCTGCTGCATTCACCCCACACAAATGTTAAATCAAAAAAATTCTGTGGTTTGTTAATCTGTTTTTTCCCCCCTTCCTCCTAGAGGAGTTGAATCGTGCTAAGGGGCAGCAGTTCCACGAGTGCCTTAAGCAACAGCAACTCTTCACAGTTAAGCACAGACAGTGAGTATTGGTAGGCTATTATCATCATGGGAAAGGAAACATCACAGCCAAGCCTGCCCATATCCAGATAAGCCTTTCCAGCAGGAGACACAGAATAACTAACAATCAGGAGTGGAAAACCTGCCCCTCCCCCAAGTAAATATTTATGGTGGGAGAAGGCAGAACTAAGACCCAGGGAAGGTTATATAATATCCTCATGGCATAGTTTGCTGCCTCCACATTTGATTCAACAGTGAGTGAGTGCATGAATATAGGAGCGGAACGAGATACAAATTAATTCAGGTCAAATATCGCAAGCTTCATGTTATCAATATAGCATCAAGTTTTATACTGTCGTTACTTGCGTCAATTTATATGGAATAGCAAAGGGAATCCAAAGAATTTGAACACAAAAAGCCTTTACTTTGTCCCAACCTCAGAAGAGCTGACTGACCTGTATGGATTTTTTAATTTCCCCACAGCTATCCCTGTGGCCTCCCGGAATGAGATTTCATGTTGAGACTACATACACTCCTTTTACAAATGATCCTTCCAACCAACTGGCATAGATTTCCATATAATATTTATTTATCTACCAACTATATTGGTCTATACAAAAACAACTGAATTCCAATCGAGAGCCCCAGAGGTGAAAGGGGAACCTACTTACCATTGGCTTACTCCATTATAAAAATCTCATTGTTTAAATGAGAGTCTGCATATTTTAATCAAACTTACGTAAGAAAAAAGTTTAGACATACTTCTGATTTAGTATATAATATAATTTAGTATATATGTGTATATAATCATATCAAAAGCACATATAGAAGTTTTAAATTGTTAGGAATTGTACTCGTAGAACAGAATTGTAGAACTTCACAGAATAGAAAGATCTTTCAGCCCATTGTGCTTGTGCCAGCTCTTCTTAAGAGCTGTTCATTTTAATCTCATTCCCCCGCCTTCCCCCCCACCTTTAAACTTTTCCTTTTTAGATTTGTCTTAATTCCCTTTTACAATGGAATATTGTATCTGCCTCAGCAACAGTTTTTAGTAGAATGTACTATGTCCTAATAACCCTCTCTATGTGAGTAAAAAAAATCTTCTAACTTCTCCCTTTGTCTTTTTAGTAATTATCTTAAATATCAGCCCTCAGTTATACAGTGGATACTAAACCACAAACTATCAAAAATCAAATAAACAATGAAAGGAAACTTATTCTTGTCCTGAATAGCATCATTTCTGCATATCATATTTCCTAGTTCGTAGCTAAGAGGAGTTTTTTCGGACGAAGGAGGGTTTTCATTCATCATGTCTGTGTCGCTGTTACCCATGCTGTCTTATTAATCACATTTTTGAGCTACAGAAGTCTGAATGGTTTTCAAATGCTCGGCTTCTCATATTCCAGACAATAATAATAATTTTTGCATTTGATATAACACTTTATCACATTTTCGAGAACATCCCAAAGCGCTTTACGGAATATACTGTAAAGTGAATTGACTATATATTGTGGGCGAAACGCGGTAGCCAATTGCATGCAGCAGAGTTCTACGTGGATTGAAGTGAACAATTTATTATGATTTTTTGAAGGAATTATTACCCCCAGAAAAGTGATCTGCCGATCGACATAACGACTGGGTTCCTACTTACTGCTAGGTAAACAGAGACATGTGGAGTAAGGAAACTTGCCCAACCATCCTCGCTGCCGGGAATCGAACCCAGGTAACCACTGAACTACAGGACTCCGCACCTCTGTTTATATAAACAATGTTTAGAACAGCTTTTTCTAGTTGACTAGCCGTAATTGATTTACGGACTTAGCCTTGTGGAGTCCTGCAACTTAGTGGTTAGAGCAAGGTGCCATATAAACAATGTTTATATAGCACTTTTCACATTGGGAGAATGTCTCAAACTGCTTCTCAGAACCCACTGGAGCCCAAGCTGGGGGGGGGTGGGAAATCTCATGTTATAATAGCTGAATGGCAGACAAGGTGTGAAGTAAATGTGTGAGAGAGAGAGAGAGGTGGGGATGTGGGGGGAGCAGAATCCGGGAATACAGGTTAACTCTTCAGAGACGAGGAGGAGGTTAAGAGATGATCTGACTGAAGTGTCTAAACTAATAAATGAAACCGACAAGCTTTTTAGTGGATGGCTCATTCCTCTGCTAA